CCCACAAATAATCACAAAGGAAGACTGTGTGGTCTCCTTATCACAAAACTCTTCTGGACTAAACACTGTTTACGCTGCTGTCAGATTAATATTCCAAACACTGCTCTGATCATTTCACTTCTTGGCTCAAAAACTTTCAAGGACTCTCTACTGCCTTCTGAGAAGCCTTGCCTTTTTTTTTTTTTTTTTTTTTAAGAGACATGGTCTTATTCTATCACCCAGGTTAGAATGCAATGATGTGTGATCGTAGCTCACTGCAGCCTTGAACTCCTGGGCTCAAGTGATCCTCCTGCCTCAGGCTCCTGAGCAGCTAGGACTACGAGCACATGTAACTGTGCCTGGCTAATTTTTTTTTGGTAGAGATTGGGGGCAGGGGGTGTTGCAGGCGTCTCTCTATGTTGCCCAGGCTTGTCTCGAACTCCTGGCTTCAACCATTTTCCTGCCTCAGTCTCCCAAGTAGCTGGGATTACAGGTGTCAGTCACCGTGCCTGGTCGTCTAACATGACATCCATGCAAGGGCTGCCATTCCCAGTTCCTTTCAGAACTCACAAGGCAACTTTGGAGTTGGGGAGGCTGCAGGAGACTCCAGGTATGAGAGTGGTCATTTGCTGTTGTCGTGAGGTTGCCAGATTCAGGAAATAAAAATGTTGGGCCAGGTGTGGTGGCTCATGCCTGGAATTCCAGCACTTTGGAAGGCTGAGGTGGGAGGTTCAGTCGAGTCCAGGAGTTCCAGACCAGCCTGGGCAACAAAGTGAGATCCCAATCCTACCAAAAACAAAAAGAAATTTCTAGGAATAGTAGACAGTGGGTAAAAAATAAGATACTCACTTAAATCTGATTTTCAAACAACAAATCATTTTTTGGTATATCCTAAATATTCAAATTTAACTGGGCAATCTCATGTTGTATCTGGCAGCCCTACAGTTAGTCTCAGCCACACTCCAGTCTGCAACATGGATCCACTGTATCTGCTTGGAATGTCCGCCTCCCTCTCAATTTGGCCCAAATCTGACACCTCTTCAAAGGTCCCACTCAAAGACCACTTCTCTCACAAGGTCTTCTCTGGCATCCTCTGATAGTTATGATTACTTCTTCCTCGCCACTCCCAAAGCACAACGAACAGACCCATCATGTGTCCCATAGCACATGCTTCCTTCCACTCTGCAGAGGCGAGCCCTGTGTCTTAACCCCGCCTGAGCCTGGAAGCTTCCTGAGCACCAGACCAAGGTGCTCTGCCAGCTCATGCTGCGTACTCAGAAGGTGCCATTAGCTGGTTGTTCAATGAATACGTAAGACTCGATTGTCCTGAATCAGAACTACTTTCTATTTTTATTTTCAGAGTGGACTTTTCTCCCTAAATTCTAGGATCAGTGGCACATGGGCATCCCAGGCAAATTATATGGCTTCTAAGAGACTGAATCTGAAATCTTCCAATTTAGGAGAAAGGAAGGAAATGTGAATCTTTTTCTTCTCTGAACAAGGAAATGAGAATTTGTTTAAAAAAAAAAAAAAAGATTGAGCATTGACAATTACTGATTACAAAATAAAGTAATATTATAGTTTTAAATGAAAACATCTCCATGTGAACAAACTTTGCTTTGTATTTTAGCATCTGTTTGAGTAGGTTTGTACTGCAAAGCGGAAAAATGAAATCTCCCAGGCACCATTTGCCAAGGGATTTGCTCCCCTCTTTTGTCTGTTCGGATTAATCTGAGAGTGGCTGAGAGCTGCCCATTTTATCTCTGGGTTGAGGCAAAAGGGAGAAGTGTTTTCCAAAATAGCCCATGAGATGGCTGGACTCCCTCAGACAGAATTTGGGGGAGGACAAAGGAACCATGTGGGCATTTTATGTAGAGTATCTGGACCGGGTGCCCTGTCATTTGGAAGGCATCTGTTCCTGCCATTTGCACATCTTCCGGTAATCCTCCATTGATCGCCACCCCGCGTTCCTTCCTGCCCACTTGTGCCGGCCCTCCCCGCAGTGTCCTCTGACGTGAGGCCCTTCTTTCACTGCTCTAATTCAATGGCTTCTAATTGGATGCTCTGCCTGGCTAATGGCTTTTACCCAACTGCAGGGCTGACATTTACTTATTTGATTTCCACCCCTCCCTCTGCTCTCTGGCCTCCTTTGTGAGCAGAGCTTAAATTAGGCAGGATTTTAGATCCAGCACCTTTTTGTATTTCGGTGTGGGCCTCTTGTTTTTTGAGTGGGGAGGGGTGGCTGAGTAGAGAAGAGCCTTGGAAATACACACTGAGCTGATCAATCCTGACCCCTGCAGATAAACCCAGCTTTGTGACTTATCTCTGTCCCAGAATCCCAGCTGCCTCTGGCTGCTTTCTTTGTTTGCTTTTTAACCTGGACCCCAGCCTGCTAATTTCGGCTGGAACAAACTTTATTGTGTCACTGAATATCAGATCAATGCCAAAAGAGTTGTTGCTTGTTTTCATCATTGGAAAGGTTCTGGGCTAAATGTTAGATCTCTTCATCTCCAGGGTTTGACATTCAAGAATTGTAATGTAGGGCTACAATCATCTTAGTGATTATCTTAGTTATCACAATCTGAACTCATCCTCCTTTCTCCCCTGTCCCTAGATATAAACATTTCTGGAGAGATGAAAGTCATGATCCTGAAAGGATTTCGTCTTTGAAGGCTCTTCATCATCATCTTTGCATTTGCCTGTTTTTCAATCTTGTAACCCCAAACAGAACAGAAGAGCCATCGTCCATCCATATTTGCTTAGAACGGATATTTACAAATTGAGTTTAAATTGTTCTCAGACGTGAATTATCTTATTTATTTATTTATAGACTTCACCCCATAGAACAAACAGAGACAAACGGCAAGTTTCCCTTTGGTTTAGGACCACTTGGCAGCATGACTCCAATCTCCACTATCACCCAAGCAGCTATGGTTCAGGCAAGCTGTTAGCTTGAGGTCTATAGTCTATCTCTAAGGATTACCTTTACTTGATTCTTAATTACATACTATTCTCCATCCTCCCAGTCCCTTCACACACACACACACACACACACACACACACACACACGCACACACACACACACAATTCCTCTTTAATTAGGTTGTAGCAGTCTTTTCCATATATATCTAACTCAGTTCATTGTGGGCTGTTCTGATGGATAGCTGTCTGCCCTGGCCAACACTTCATTAGGAGTGATACCCTGCAGCCAGTGGTCCCCAGGTCGCCTTGTTCAGGAACCAAAGTGCAGCCCAGCAGGGAGTCTGGGAGACAAAGGGATAATTGTGGTGGAGAAGTAATAGTGATGAAAAGGCTTCCAGAACAGATGTAGGAAGCACCCTGCAGTGCAGTTCACTTTCTTATACCAGGTTATGAAATTAGGAGAGTGTTAATAAAGGCAACTCAGTTACCCAGGTGTTGCCTCTGCAGCTGAGAGACTGATATTCAAGCCTCAGGAAATAGCCAGAATATCTGAGTCTCAATAGGTGGCCCGTTACCTACAAAATCAATATGGCCTCTTGCCTATGCAATCCTCCTTTTTACTTTTTTTTTGAGACAGGGTCTTACTCTGTCACCCAGCTGGCATGCAGTGGCATGTTCTCAGTTCACTGCAGCCTCAACTTCCTCAGGCTCAAATGATCCTCCCACTTCAGCCTCCCAAGTAGCTGGGACCAAGGTACACACCACCATACCTGGCTAATTTTTGTATTTCCTGTAGAGGTGGGGTTTTGCCATGTTGCCCAGACTAGTCTCAAGTGATCCTCCCACCTTGGCCTCCCAAAGTGCTGGGATTATGGGCATGAGCTACTGCGCCCAGCAATTCTCTATTTTACTTCTTACTTCTAACATTCACTTTCTCTTTCCTCTCTTCCTGAAAAGATGGCTAGGGAAGAAGAAGGGAATAAATATTTCCTATGTTCTAGATTCTCATGGCTGCTTTACCTGGTGATATAAACCTATATTTTTAAAAATTGAGGTATAAATTACACACAATAAAACCCACAGTTTGATGGGTTTTGACAAATGTATACACCCCTATAACCACCACTCTATCAGTTATAATGGCATGATTCATCCTCACATTCAATCTCTATGAGAGATTGGTGTCACTGGCTCAATTTTATAACTGAGGAAAGGGAGGATCAGAAAGATTAACAACAATAGCAATAATAACGGCAAATACTATGAGCCAGGCACCGTTCTAAGCACGTTACACATATTACCTCATTTATTCCTCTCTACAACCCCATTGGTCCCATTTTACAAATGAAGAAACCCCAAGGTCACACAGCTAAAGAGTTAGAGCAGGATTTCCGATGTTCAGATTACCTTATTTCCCTTACAGTACTTCCAGAGAATTTTTTTTAAGTTCCCTCATTAGATTTTCTTTTATCCCAGAGAGAAAAATCCCCCCAAACAGAACTAAAGGCCATCGGAAGGAAAGCCACATGTCCCATATCTATGCTAGCACCCCCTCCATCCCTGGCTTTCTTTAAACTATGGGCAGTCAGCTTTAACATCATAGATAGAAAAGGTTAGGCTTGAAGAAAAGCCTTGTTTTGCTACCCACTAAACACAGGGATTTTCATCTAAGAAAGTCCTTCAAGCCATCTGCCCAAGCAAAGTGATCAAATTGCGCTGAGGTTCAGCTTGACCTGGTAAAACACGTTGCTTTGTGGAACGAGTTTCGAGTTTCGCTTTGCCAGCGGTGCTGAGCATTTCCTCGGGAATTTCGCACCCACGCTGGACCACTGATGCCTCCTCTGTGCATGGAAAGGCAAAGGTATGGCGTGGCTTTTTGGGACCTTCATATAAAAAGGTCAACCCACTTCTCTGCTTTTTACCCACAGCCCCACCCCAGAGGAGGGAAAAATCTGCAATTGTTGGATTAGGGCTGAGGTGCATATTTGCCCTTTGCATAACTGGCAGCGTTGCAAAGGACAGCCCCTTTCTCTCTTCCCTCCATTCTCTCCCATCTGGCAGAGGAGTCCGGCTCCCTAAATCTTCTTTTTGTTGGTTAGTTTCCATGGTAGTTATTGTCTGTGTGTGTGAGCGTGTCCGCCCCCTCACCCGCTCTCTTTGTAGCTGAGACTGGGTGGAGGGAGAGGCACGGAGACACTGGGGCTCTGATGAGCTGGCTAAGGCCCTCTCAGTAGGGGGGGTCACGCCTCCTGGAACTCAGGGACCCCAAGTTTCTGTGCATTCAGGGCAGGGCTGGCCTCATGCCCTGTGCATAGAGGCCTGGCTGCATCCCAGTCGATCAGCCAGAGGCAGCAGCAGTGGACTCATCAATTGTGGAGGAAGCCCTGGGGACCCTGGGGACCTTGCCGACTCTATTCCCAGTCTGCTCCTAGGACAAGCCTCAAAGCCAACACCTGCTCGACCCTCTCCAGGCCCCTCCCCTTCTTTGTCTTTTGCAGATGATCGCCGGGTGTCCTCCTTTTCCCCCTAGTCAGGTAAGTTTTATTTCAATCCATCTATGCAGAGTGATGTCTTGGCATTCTGAGTGCCTGGTGGTGGGGAGATAGGCAGTGGTGTCCGTGAGAGGAGGGCTGCCCAGGTCAGACAGGCTGGCATGGGGGTCAGGAGGGGCAAGGGTCTTCAAGGGCTTTTTCTCCTCAGCTGGGCCTCTCTGGCTTTGAAGTTAAAGGTTTCTTCCCACCTGGTCTTAACCCAGCTAATTAACTCCAAAGATTGCTGTCCAGGGCACAGACTGACCAACATACAGCCAACCTCCAGAACTTCTGGCTTCTGATCCGAATTCGGCTCAACTTTATGGAATATCAAACAGAAAACCAAATATTGCATATTCTCACTTACAAATGTGGGAGGTAAACCCTGTACGCAGATGGACATCAAGATGGGAACAATAGACGCTGGGGACTCAAAAAGGAGGGAGGGAGGGGGACAAGGGCTGAAAAACTTCCTATTAGGTTACTATGTTCACTATCCAGGTGACGGGATCAATAGAAACCCAAACCGCAGCATCACAAAATACACCCTTGTGACAAACCTGCACACATGTCCCCTGCGTCTAAAATTAAGATTTTTAAAACTTATGGAATATCTACTATGTACACACATATTGATACACTTGGCTCTGAAGGGATTGTGCTTTGACGACCATGGCACATAACATGGTTCCTGCCTTCCATTGCTTACCACCTGGTAAGAAAGAATATCTACATAGATAGGTATGGGGATTCTGGGGCCAGACAAGCTGGAATTCACATCCCTGTTCTGGTTGTGTGACCTTGGACAAGTCATTTAACTTCTCTAAATTTCAGTTTTCACCTTTGTAAAATGACAATAATAATAGTACCTACTTTATAGGCTAAATTATACATACACACAACTCACACGCACATAAAACTCTGATCAGTTCATGACACATACTGAGCACCATATACTTGTTAATGATTATTATTGTTATTATTATTGGCTTTTTATGTGGTTCAAATTATACAAAATATGTAAAGAATGTAGTGTGGTGTTGAGAATAATGGGTGGTGGTTATTATCATGCTAACACAGTTACAGAGGAAGTTCTATAGAAAAGGGAAAAATGACTCTTGCCTGCAGGGATCATGCAAGGCATGGAGGAGGCGGCATTCGGGCCAAGCCCTGAGGATGAATAGGATGTCAACAAGCAGGACGGAGCATATGAAGCAGAAAGCACAAAGCCAGGCATGGAGGCAGGAAATGAAAGGCCTATTGGGCATCAGGCAATAGAGTGGTTTGGCTGGAGCCCAGACATTAAGCCTGGCTGAGAAGCTGGACTGGACTTTGGGCTCCCAGCATCTTGAGGACAAGGGCCAAGATTAGGGTGTGACACTGTGAACACTGGAATAACCAGCCCAGCACCAGGATGAGGGGGAGTGATACACTTCATAGAGAGCCAGGCTCAGAGCCTGAGACCAGCATTCAGGTCCTGGCTGAGCTTCAGATTGAACTGGGTGCTCTGAGGCTAATCGCTTCACCTCTCTGAGTTTGTTTGTCACCTGTGAAATCGGGAGGTAAAATACCAAGTGCAATTCTTCAGGAGAAAGGAGAATTTGTGTGTCATCTGCATGGTCCTGGGAAAAATCCAAAGGAATCAATCATTTAACAAAGAGACTTATGTAAATTATCAAGTGCAATGCCTGACTCACTATAGTAGTTGAATGAATGATCTCGCCCATCATGATTAATTGCCTTATTCATCCATTCATTCATTCATTCACTCATTCATTCAGCAAATATTTCTTGGGTCCCCACTGAATGCCAGGCATTAGTTTTGCTGATGGGAAAGAGTGGTGAATACAACAGATATGCACCTGCCTTGAGACACTTATAAGCAACTGAGCAAACTGGCAACCTGAGGACTTCTGGGTGCTCCCACCCTACCCCCAGCAGCTTCCATCCCACTGGCCATCTTCTATTTTCTCTCAAAGATTACTGCTTTCGGATATTTATTTTTAGCAGATTTTAGGCTCCCAAGACATCTCCCGCATAGGTCTTGAGAACATCTCCTGTCTGCCCTCTGCTGGTGGGGGATTGTAAGCACTTTGCAATAAACAGCTCAATATTCATGACACATCAATACCAAGCGTTTCTGCTGCTGTCCATCACCCCGAGATGAACTGAAGTGCTTTAATTTTTAAAGAGGAATGAATTTGTAATTAGTACTTTAACGTTACACCAGAGTCATTCAAGAGGTTTTCTATTTAAATGCAAATTTAATCTTCCCAAAGGAAAGCTAAAAGGTGATGAAAATAGATAGCAAAGGTTGAGGAAGAAGGCAAGAAAAGGGAGATGGCGCTGACGTGGAGCCGTCACTGTTGTTGACTTGCCTGTGGCCCAAGCTCAGGACCAGGCTCTGAGGTGGAGGGAGCTGAGGTGGGGCCTGGGTCCCTAAAGCCTAAGTTCCAACTGCCCTGCCTGTTCATGGGGGCAGCCCAAACCAGCAGCCATTTGGGTGGGTCCTCGCTGGACTGCTGGTGGTCATCTTAGAATCTGGTGGCCTGGAGAGGATATGGGCTGTGGGGTTACGCAGATCTGAGTTTGAATCCAGGATCCTGTTCTGCCTAACTCTAATAGCTTTGGCGAGTTTCCTAATCTTCCCCATTCCTTCATTATGTAAACAGACCTCTTAGTGCTTGTTTCTCTCAAGGTCGTTGTAGAGATTATGTGATAAACAGAGAAAATGTCCTTGGTATACAGGAAGGGCCCTCAAAATGTTCATTTCCTTTATTGCCACTAGATATTGCCTTGTCAACTTAACATGCCACGGTGGTGCGAAGTATGTTCAAGAATAAGGTGGCAAGCTGGGAGTGGTGCGTGTCTATAGTCCCAGCTACTCAGGAGGCTGAGGCAGGAGGATCGACTGGGCCCAGGAGCCTGCAGTGAGCCATGATGGTGCCACTGCACTCCAGCCTGGGCGACAGAGACCCTGTATCATGCAAACAAGAAAACAAAAAATGAAAAGAATAAGGTGGCATTCCCCTTGTTCCCTTAAAACAGCCTGAGGTCCGGGGGAGGGCACAAACATTTTCTGTAAAGGGTCAGATAGTAAATATTTTACACTTTGCGGGCCATGCGCTCTCTGTTGCAACTACTCCACTCTGCTGTCGTAGTGGGAAAGCCGCCATAGACAACACGTAAATGAATGAGTGTGGCTGTGTTCCAATATAACTTTATTTATAGATGCTGAAATGTGAATTTCATATCACTTTCATGTATCCCAAAATATTTTTCTTTTGATTTTTTCCCCAATCATTTAAAAATGTAAAAATCGTTCTTAGATTTCAGGCCACACAGAAACAGGCAGCAGGCCAGGGTTGGCCCTCGTCATAGTTTGCTGTCTCCTGCACTGAGGTAGAACCTGTGATTTAGCGGGGACTTGTATCAAGGAATCTCTCAGAACATAACTTCCAAGACTGAGACCAAAGCAGGGAGATGTCATCCAAGGAAGAAAATAGTCCTTTCTGGGCCAGGACTAGGGAGGAACAAAGGACACACGGTATCCCTAGTGGTTCCTCGTGGAGGCAGTTGTTAGGTCTGGGTGTGAATAGAAGTGTCACTCTGTTTCTTGCCTAGCGATGTGCGGGGATGGACTGGCGGTTCCTGGGTGCTAAGCAGGCAGCCACATTCTCCTGGTGACAGACTATAGGAGGATGCTCAAGGGCCAAGGCCCTGCCACTCCCTCCTTCACTGGGAGAGAAATGCAGCCTCCCTGGGGCTCCTTAGAGATCCTCAGGTACACACCCACCAGCCCCGGGAGTGCCGAGTGATAAGGACAGGCAGATCCTTTGATTCACCCCCTTGGCCTGGTTCTCACCTTTCCGGACTCTCATGGCTTCTTAGACACACATACACACAAGGCACTCGCAGCCAGCCCATCACGGGTCCCCCGCCTCTCCTGTCTCCAGCACAGAGAGCACAGGTCAGCATGCCAGATGGCAACCTTGCTGCTGCGGCAGATTGCCGTCTCCCTAGGGAGCGGGGGTGAAAGCAAAGCACTGGATGATTCCTGTGCTCCAGTCCCCAACCCCTCCTCTCCAGTGTGCCTCCGCCTGGTCCTTTCTCTGGGGACAAAGGGTGTGTGTGTGTGTGTGTGTGTGTGTGTGTGTGTGTGTGAAGTGCCAGAGGAGAAGGGGAGAGGTGAGGAGAGAGCAAAAGCCACTCCCTACCTCTGTACAGGTCCTGCCCCAGTGACCAGGCACTTCCTTCCATCTGGAGAGTGAGCAGGACCTCCCTCTCTGGCGCCCAGGGAGGCTGGTGGGCTCTTAGAGGTGAGTAGAGGCATGGGACGGACAACAAGGCTGCCCCAAGGCCTGGTGAGAGAGGCAAAGAGGCCTGGGACCTTTCAGGGTGACTGATCTCACTTCCCAGCTCTTTGGAGGGCCCAGGCAGAGTGTCATGCCAGCCTAAACAGCCTAAACTGTGAACCTCGTCATCCCCTTCTCAGCCCCATAAAGGGCCCAGAGTCTTGGATCCCGCTGGATGTCAGGGTCAGACAAAATTTGGAGTTAGGAGGGAGGCAAGGAAAGAGAGGCGGGAGGTGGGCCATGAGAAAGCCTTTTTGAGACGGAGTTTCGCTCTTATTGCCCAGGCTGGAGTGCAATGGCACCATCTCGGCTCACTGCAACCTCCAACTCCCGGGTTCAAGCAATTCTCCTGCCTCAGCCTTCTGAGTAGCTGGGATTACAGGCATGCACCACCATCCCTGGCTAATTTTTGTATTTTTAGTAGAGACGGGGTTTCTCCATGTTGATCAGGCTGGTCTCAAACCCCCGACCTCAGGTGATCCGCCCACCTCGGCCTCCCAAAGTGTTGGGATTACAGGCATGAGCCACCGCGCCCAGCTGAGAAAGTCTCGTCTTAAAGTGAGCAGTGATGATCAAATAAAAGTCCAATATATGCTATGTACCAAGTGAGGAAGCTCTACGTGGAAACAAGAGGAATCTTCCGGGAGTGACCCCTTCTCTCCTGGGTGGGGACAAGACAACAAATGAGCTTTTGTCCTCCAGATAAGGCAGTTTTGCTAGGAAGAGGATGAGCGAGCAGGCCAGCCTTTTGTGTAGCCTTTTGTTTCTAGCAGGCCCTACCTCTAGGCTTACAGAGCTCCGTGGGCTGGACTGTGGGTCTGCGGCCCTGCTCATTCAGAGCCTGCCAGCAAGAGAGCCAGCTCCCAGTGCCTCAGCACACACACACACATGCACGCCCACACACATACACATGCATGCATACACACACATGCACACGTAGGCATGCACACCATCGTGACAGGCAGGCTGGCCCAGCTGCCAATCAATCTTCCTTGCTGATTTCCCAACTGGAAGCAGTAGGGCTGGTGTGTAAATCATTCAGAGCCCTCTCTCAGCTCTGCCAGGACATGGAGCTCTTTTTAATTAAGAAGAATGGAGGATGCTGCTGACTTTGGAAATGGCAATATTAACTTACTAATGGGCATTTAAAGAGCCGCGTCTGAGTGGTCTGCTGCAGCCTTCCCCAGCCTATAGCCTCTTCTCCTCTGCAGAGCTGCCTCCATAAAGGCTCTGCTGTCCTCCTCATGAGAAGGGGTGAAGATTAGGCCCCCTAAGGGCCCCAGCCTGATGACCTGGGACAAATGGGTGCATTTTCACTTTTAGAGAAAGAGCCAGGTCAGGATGACCTGAGCCCTTGCGTCCTCTGCAACCCTTGCATACTCTCCTGGAAGCAGGCACCCCAGAAAGGTCAGAACCCAACAGGAAGCATGATAAGGCATCCAGGTGGGTGCCCAGCGTCTACAGGGAGCCAGCCCATTTGCCACAGCTGCAGCTGTCACAAGGCACTCCCTTGTCCTGGGCTGATTGGAGAGAAAGGAGGGTGGTGGTAGCAAGAGAGAGTGGCCAGGGGAAGCCCTGATAAAGTCCTCACTGGTGACCGGACCTGGGGTAGCTGGCAGCGCTTGTGAGAGCTGGTGGGGCCAGACCTCCGCGATTGTATCACCTGGCAGAATGTGAGGATGTTCGTTCTAGAATCTGCTGCTTTGTCACTATGGCTAAATGCTTCTTTCTCTAGGGCTTCCCAGTCTGTATAGCACCCCAGGAGTACAGAACACTACAGCTGGGAGGGACCCCAGCTGCTCTCTTCTTCACCTTCCTTCCTTCTAATTTGACAGGTACCACAATGGATATGACTTGCCCATAGTTGCACAGGCTGGTTACAACAAAGGCTGGAGGTCATAGCCTACATTGTAACACGATGTAGCAGAGGTCTTCTGACTGTCCTATGTCTTTCTAGTATGCACGGGGTGGCAATAGAGGAGGAGGTGGCTCCGTGGCCTCTCACCTCACCTCATGCTGGTGTTTCAAGTTTCTGACACTGCTGGTCAGGAAATTCTTCCTTGTTTATAACTCAAATCCTCAGGCTTTATTGTAAGCCCCATTTCCTCTTACGACTTCCTCAATAAGCACAGGGAAGTAGCTGAGGTCTTTGAGAAGCATCCCTTCCCGCACGCAGTAAACAGCAGAGGAGTGTGCGGTTTCCCAACCCTTTCTTCTCTACCTTGTGCAACTCCTGAGTCTGAAAACGAAGATGACCCCCTCCCTTCACCCATCATCCCATATCTGGGGTCCACTTTCCAATGTCCCAATTTTACCTAAGTAGGCAGGAAGGTGCTTACAGATGAACAGATGCATTCTTTAACGGATACCCACTAAGCCTCTCTAGGTTCCAGGCACCAGCTAAGCACTGGAGCGGGAGGGAGCAGGGCGGATAGCTGAAGGAATGTGGCTGATTCAACTCTCCAATCAAGGCTGCGTGGTCAGGAAGGGAACTTGAATAGCTAAGGCCATTCTGCAGGACTCCAGCCCTCCACCTGCAGGGCAGCAGCGCCACGTGATCACATACAGATCCTGGTTCTGACTGCTGGCAACTGTGTCATGCCATCTCCCATCAAGTCCACGTGAGCTCTAAATCCTTCCTCTGGGCTGATGTTGGGACTGGTGGGGAGGAGGCCCTAATGAGGCTTCTCTATGCTGGGGGAGGAACTACCCTTTCCTTGGTCTGCTGGCAGCCTCAGTCCTAATTGGATGAGTCAGCCTCACTCCCCACTCCCTGAATAAGGACCACGCTTCTGGTAAGGAATGAGAAGGTGATTAGCTAAAGGAAGGGCACAGCTGTTCTCCAGATTAGAATGCAATTTAGGTTGCAGCAGATGAGATTTCAGCTAGCTAGGAGAAAAGATATCCGGTCTAAGACACAGGCCCAGAAGTGATTGGCTACAGGAGGGTGTGGGCCCTGGTAAGGCTGCCTATCTTGTGAAACTGGCACCTGCTTTGGGGGACACACTACCCTGAAAGTCAGAGGTACAGAAACTTACCATTGCAAAGGGAAGAAAGACACTAGTCTTTATGAGGTACCTACCACATGCCCAGGAACTATGCCTGGCACCTCCTTCTAGAAAGTAGATTTTCTTATTCCCTTTTTCACAGATGAGGACACTCAGATTCAAGGACGTAAGTGACTTGTGCATAGTCACACAGCTAGGAGGTGGCTGCACCAGGATTCAGATCCAGCCTGCCTGATGCTGACCACATGGTCTGTGGGGTGCTGCAGAAAGAAAACTGCATAAAGAAGGTGATCCTGGCCTCGGGGAGTTCCTGGTGTGCGCCTCCAGCCAGCGTGGTTCCCTGCAGAGGGCACTCCGGTACAGAGTATTTCTAGGGAGGGCTAAGGAGCAGCTAATCACTAAGCAACTCCTCTTTCCTCCTATCCCCCCAAAATGTTCCCTACACTTGGAATTCCACCAGACCTTGAAACCCTTCCCACAGTTACTGCATCCATGAATCTGCCTGGTTTATTGGGAAGGAACTGTCCCCCACAACACCCCCAATTTCCCCTTAAGGTACCGCAGTTTGGTGAAGACAGGATCCTGCTGAATGCCTACCAGACAACAGAGACTGAGTAAAACTGTGCATTTCATTGTATGTAAATTAGACCTTAACAAATCCAAGACTTACTGAGCCTGCCAAGGTGGTGCATGCCTGTAATCCCTGCTACTCAGGAGGCTGAGGCAAGAAGATGACTTGACCTCAGGAGTTCAAATCCAGCTTGGGCAATATCGCAAGACCCCATCTTTTAAAAAAAAAACAAAACAAAAAACAAAACCCAAAATGTACTGAGTGACTTTTTCTGGGGCCAAGCATCCCCAAGTTTGATTGATGCATCAATATCTATAATAAAGACTCCACAGCACCAAAGGCCTAATCTTTAGAGGCTTTTATTACTTCCCCCCACCCCCCGCTAATTCCCCAACCTCCCACCCTACCTTGTGACCAAGGCAAAAAATCTAACACTTTTTTTTTTTTTTTAAAGAGAGACAGGGTCTTGCTGTGTCACCCAAGCTGGAGTGCAGTGGGACAATCTTGGTTCACTGAAGCCTCTACTTCCTGGGCTCAAGTGATCCTCCCACCTCAGCCTCCCTAGTAGCTAGGATTACGTGCCACAAAGCTCGGATAACTTTTATTTTTTATAGAGACAGGGTCTCGCTATGTTTTTGAGGCTGATCTCAAACTCCTGGGGTCATATAGTCACATGCCTCAGCCTCACCAAGTGCTGGGATTACAGGCATGAGCCACCTCATCCAGCCTAAAAACTCAAACCCCTTTTAAGGCAAAAGAGAAACCCTGGCTCAATGTTATGCAAGATTTTAGAGCAAGGAGGATTTAGATTTGACATGAGGAAGAACTTCCTGACCAGCAAAATGGTTACACACTAGAATAGGGTGGGGAGGGATCAAAGGAGTCACTGGACACTCTCCTTCTGCTTGGCACTCCTTAAGGCCCCATCTTGGTGCACTCAGCCCAGGCAGTGGAAACCACAGGTGACTCAGGGAATCTTAAGTGGCAGTTGCTAGGTTACAAGCTTCCTCGATGTGCACTCAGTGTAAGGACTAAAGGATGTTACCTGGCGGAGAGGAAGAGAGATGGGGGAGATGGAGAGAAGCCAGGACTTCCAGAACAAGCAATTAGGTCATGGTCTGGAAGACATCCTGTTCTTAGTACTTTTCCAAGGGTCTGAGTCCCTAGATCCCACGGTCTGCATAGAAGATGGTGCCTGTAGGATATGAGCCTTAGTTTAGAATGGGGGCCTATTCTAAGGCTGGATTCCAGCACTTCCTTACCTGCACTGCCTGGCACAAACAGTATGGGCAGCCGCTGAAATATCCTTGGGAGCCTAGGCTCCTTTCTTCACCGCGGTGGCATAAAGACCAGAAGCCAAGTGGAGAGTAGACCTGCTTGGTTTCATTCATAAGGCACAATTCTTTCATTTGTGATTTAATTGTGATAAAGTAAAGGAGTACTGGATTTGGAATTCATACCTTGGACCCACCCTGAATGGCCTGCATGGTCCTAAGTAAGTCACTTCATCTCATTAAGGCTCAAATTCCTCATCTGTCAAAAGTGGATACCAATACCTACCTGGCAACCCCTCCCAGGGCTGTTTTAAGATTACGAGAAAATGGACATGCAAGGGCTTAGATGATCTCAACAGGTGACACAAATATAACATACAGCGTGGAACTCTGTCTGCTTATTAAGCTGCCCCAGCTGGGGTGGTGAGGGCTCATTTAAGAAGCCTGGCCTCACTGCTTTGGTAGAAGGCTCAGTGGGCAAAAGAGGCTGAGGATGGACTCCAACAAGCCCTTTTGAGGAAGGTCTATGGCTTTAAATCTTTCCGATCACCCATTCTGATTTTGTGAAGACAGTTCAAGCTGAGGTAAATGTCCGTTCCCTATTTCTCCAGGCAGTTAGAGACTCCTAGGACGAAAGGGAAATGTTCAGTGTTTCCGTGAAATTTCATTAATTCACACCCCATGCTTTTGGAATTTATGAGTTCTGATTGAATAGGGAAAACAGACACAGCCTTCCTCTGTGAAGGTTCTAGAGGTGTTTACTTTGTAAGCACAGAGAATTCAAACTAAAAAACGTGGAATTTTTAAGCCAAGAACTCAAAGTAGTAAAATGGGCCCATTGGATGGAGTGCAATGGTACAATCTCAGCTTGCTGAAACCTCTGCCTCCCGGGTCCAAGTGATTCTCCTGCCTCTGCCTCCTGAGTAGTTGGGATCACAGGTATGCGTCACTGCACCCAGTTAATTTTGTATTTTTAGTAGAGACGAGATTTCACCATGTTGGCCAGGCTGGTCTCGAATTCCTGACCTCAGGTGATCCACCTGCCTCAGCAACCCAAAGTGCTAGGATTACAGGCGTGAGCCACCAAACCCCACCCCGATTGTATAATTTTGAGGGTGGAAGGTTTGTTTTGTTTTTTTTGTTTTGTTTTGTTTTTTTGTTTTTTGAGACAGAGTCTTGCTCTGTCACCCAGGCTGGAGTGCAGTGGCGCAGTATTGGCTCACTGCAATCTCTGCTTCCCAGGTTCAGGTGAACCTCCTACCTCAGTCTCCCAAGTAGTTGGGACTACAGGCGCATGCCACCATGCCTGGCTAACTTTTTTGTATTCTTAGTAGAGATGGGGTTTCACCATGTTGGCCAGGCTGGTCTGAAACTCCTGACCTCAAGTGATCTGCTTGCCTGGGCCTCCCAAAGTGCCTGGATTACAGGTATGAGCTACCACACCCGGCCGGAACTATTGTATCTTGACTGATCAATTTCAAAACCCTGGTTGATATATACTGTACTATATAGTTTATATATACTGTACCATAGTTTTGTAAGATGTTGCCATTGGGAGAAACTGGGTAAAGGGTATTTTTTCTTACAGCTGCATGTGAATCTAAAATTTTCTCAAAATTAAAACTGCAGTTTAAAAAATATATAGATATGGATCTATCAAAAAATATATAGATATAGATCTATCTATCTATCTATCTGTATAAGAAACTGAGACTTAGAGTAGTTAAACAAGTTTCAGAGGCAAGATTCAAACCCAGGTCTCCAGCCTCCCAAGCCTGGGTCTTTCAAGACTTGGCTACATTTGAGAGAACCAGGTAGGAGGAAGATCCCATCGGCCTTGCAGTCCACCAGACCAGGTGGTTCTCTGGCCTCATGGGCACCTTTGTTACTGGGGGCTACTGTCCTGTAAAGGGTATTACAGGGTGGCTTGCAAGGATTGTTTGTCAAGCTCTGTGGGTTGGTGCTGGGGACAGAGATTTGATCATCAGGTTTCCCCTTCCTAAAGCTTGTGAACGGTGATGGTGGCGGTGGTGGGTTGTGCATGTGTGTGGCAGATGGAAAAACTGCCTGTGTGTGTTTGTCTATGTTGGTGTCTCTGGCTGTGTCCACATGTCTGTCTGTGCATCGTTGGTCAGTGTCTCTGTGGATGTGTCTATTTCGGGGGGGAGGGTGATGTGTAAGTTACGCATCTATGTGCAAGTGGGTGTATATGTTATATTTGAAAGTACCTGTGCCAGGTCTGCATGCATCGCACCCACATAAGTTGTTTCCATGAGGTTAAACTATATGATAATACCTTCCCCCAAGCAAAGCTGGCTATTGAGTCAGCCTGTCACGAACTGCGTCTGTGTACTGTAGATAAACTGGGTAATTGGACTCTCTGCCTCTTCATCCAAAACAAACACAAAAGCCCGTCCCCACACCGGAGGGAGTCTGTGCCCGTCATCTGGGTGCTTGGTTCTAGTGCCCTGCTTTCCTTGACCCTGTAGACAAGGTGAGCGCTTCCCCGGGGGCCCGGGCGGCTGGGCTTCTGTAAAGAGGTCACAGCACGCTGTGTCCCGGGACGCACGCGGATTCCTGCACAGGTGTGGTGGCTGCGGATGGGGACCGAGCGGAGCGGGCTCGCCGGCTTCCTCCCCGGCTGCGGCTCCGCTTCTCCTTCCTGCTGTTCACTTCATCTCCTCATCTGCATGTGTGACAGCGGCGCGCGGACTGGGGAAGGACAGAGCGCCCTCTCCCCGGCTCCCGTGCAGCCGGGCGGGGGCTCCGGGCTCCCCGGTGATGCGTCGTCTGCGCCTTGCCGCCGCGCTCCCGGGGCCTGGCAGCGTAAGTGATGCGGGGGCGGGAGCGCCGAGACTGCGGGGAGGGGGCGCGGGGGAAGAGAGGCGTAGACGCCGAGAGACGCTAACTCCTTCCTCCGCCCGGGGACTGCCCGGCGCCTGGAACCCCTGAAAGCCCCGGCCCGTGGCGCGCTCCGGCAGTGTCCGAACAGCGGGTGGGGAGGGGGCGGGGACCAATCGGTGCAGGGCGTGGTGCCGCCGCCGGGGGGCGCCCTCCGCCGCCGCGTATTCCCGGTGAAGTTGACCAGGGGCTGCCAAGCCCGCCTGGTGCCTGCTGGAGGGCGCGTGGCCCCGGCTGCCCTTGATTCGCCGCGTTCCTCCCGCAGGGCCAGGCGTGGACGCCGCCGGACCGCTGAGACTCGGAGCACAGTGAAGTACTGGCCGGCGTCTGGCTGGGGCTGGCGCTCGAGAGCCCGATGGAGGTGGCCAGAGGGGCCGTGGGAGCCGGCGCCGAGTAGCCGGTGGACCCCCGCGCTAGCACCTCTCCCGGCGCCCGGGCGCTCCCCGAGGCTGCCATGGAGGTGCCTAACGTCAAGGACTTCCAGTGGAAGCGCCTGGCGCCACTGCCCAGCCGCCGGGTCTACTGCTCCCTGCTGGAGACCGGGGGCCAGGTCTATGCCATCGGGGGATGTGACGACAACGGCGTCCCCATGGACTGCTTCGAGGTCTACTCCCCCGAGGCCGACCAGTGGACCGCCTTGCCCCCGCTGCCCACAGCCCGGGCGGGGGTGGCCGTCACCGCCCTGGGGAAGCGGATCATGGTGATTGGGGGCGTGGGCACCAATCAGTTGCCCCTGAAGGTCGTGGAGATGTACAACATCGATGAGGGCAAGTGGAAGAAGAGGAGCATGCTGCGTGAGGCCGCCATGGGCATTTCTGTCACGGCCAAAGGCAAGTGGGGCCAGGGCTGAGGGCGGCCAGAGAGAAGGAAGTGGGGGGCCACGAGGGAAACACGCCTTTGCTGTGGGCTGTGGAGTTTAGTGACATGTTTCTGCAGACCGCATGCGTTCAGCAGAATGCCTGCACCTCCCGCCGCCACACCCCAGCCCCTGAAACCTGCCTTGCAGGTGCCACCACCCCCAGACACCTATTTGGGGTCCTGACAATGCTCACTCCATCCTTGTAGCGTCACCAGGCCCCACTGAGAGGGCTTTGGGACCTGATTCCAGGGGCCTCTTCGACCTTCAACCTCCCCCTCTGCCTCCCAGGCTCAGAGATGCTTAATGGAGACCAGAATGTTCTTGGGGGTTGTGCTCCTGAAACGTCTTGCCCATTTCACTAAGTCCTCAGCGCATGCATGTCCTCACTACATGGTTTTGTGATTCCCATTTTCCTTTCTCAAAGCACCTCATTTCATTCTTTTCACGCCTAGTACAGCCCAGAACCTAGAACTCTGAAAGCTCTTTTGCTAAAACACAAAGGGTTTTGTGGGAGATGGTTCAATGGGAATGAGGAGACACCAAGGTCAGACACACCTGAGCAGCAGAGGCTTGCAGTGGGGTGCAACCTTCCCTCCCTCTCCTTTTCCTCCCTCCCTCTCCTTTTCCTCCCTCCCTCTTCTGCTAAACCATACTAGCTGCATGTCAAATCTACTGTAGATTGGGAACCAGTATTTCTTGAGCACCTGCTCTGTCCCTGGCACAGTGCCAGGCTCAAGGAAGGAAGGAAAGAGGCAGAAGATCTGTTCCCTGCCTTCAGGAGCCTGGATCTGACCAATGAAGGTGACCAGAGAGAAACTCCTGTGCAGAATCCCGCATGGCAGCACAGCCAGTGGGGCTTCTGTGACCTCCCAGTAAGAAGGATGGAAGGCCTGGAGGCCTACAGAGAGCAAGGGAGGGAAAAAGTACATCTACATCCCAGGCCTCGATAAGTGGTCTTGAAAGATTAAGAACTAACGTTCATTGAATCCTTACCATTGGTGCTTTGCATACATTAACCCCTTTGATTCTCACAACCTATCCAATGAGGTAAGTGCTGGTATTACTCTGATTTTAGAGAGAAGCAGTGTAAGGCCCAAAGAGTTAGTTAAACCACTGGTCTGAGGTGACACAGATAGTGATGATTGAATCTGTGCTCTTACTATGGCACTGAATGAGTTCGAGAGTTAGTTTAATAAGCATTTACATGCCTGTGTGCCAGGCATTGTGCCAGATGCTGGGGCTATAGATTTAACAGATTCTCAAGGGCCTACAATCTATTGAAAGAAACAAAGATTATTCAGTAACGTGGCAATTAGGGTGATGGAATAGGGTGACAGAAGTGCCATCATTCAGGAGGCACTGAGCCGGTGCTGTCGACCCAGCCTTGTAGTTCAGGGACACCCAGATGGTTCTGAAACGATGAGTAAGAATTGGGCACAAAAATAGTAGTGAGGAGTGGATGGGAGGATTTCCAGGAGGAGGTGTTTCAAGTAACACAGGATGGGATGGGTGGAGCTTGTGCAAGGTGAATTCCTCATTAGCAGGCACCATCTTCCAGCCTCAGGCTAGGGTTGGCATTTTTTTTTCCAGTAAGATTGGAAAGTAGGAGGAAATAGTACTCATCCCTACAATCACCTTAAGAATAAAGGCCTCCTGGAGCCAGAAGCAGTGAGGACTGGCTGCTGGCAGACAGAATCCCAGGCAGGGGTGGCTCCCTGAGAAAGAGAGGCTCAGGAGGTCCTGGGGTGAGAACCAGGGAAACACAGATGCCTTGCCCATCCTCTCTGGTGTAGTGAAGTCCTTTGAAAGACCACCCACAGTCATGAGTAGTAGAGAATGAGAGGAGACTCACTTCTCAAAGTACCCCAGCTCACTTCCTAGGCACGGTTTCTTAAAGGGGCCAGCACTCTCTCCAAAGCTTCACCCTCATTCGCCCCTAGCCCTATCTCATTTAGTCGAAGTGACTCCTGGATCCCACAAGTCTCCCAATGTGTGAAGGAAGATGGTATTCCCTCATGGGGCTGGCAGACACAGAGAGACCAGCAGCAGTCCAGTGTCCCATAGGCCAGTGACAGCATGACTCATCTTATTTCTAAAGGCCCCTGCCATATCTAAAAAATTCCAGTTTTTGAATGCCTGGGGAAAGGGCATCAGAAGAATATCTCTACTCGTTGAGGCCAGGCGTGGTGGCTCATGCCTGTAATCTCCACACTTTGGGAGGCCAAGGTGGGCGGATCACCTGAGGTAAGGAGTTCGAGACCAGCCTGGCCAACACGGTGAAACCCCATCTCTACTAAAAATACAAAAAAAAGTAACCAGGTGTGGTGGCAGGCATCTGTAATCCCAGCTACTCTGGAGGCTGAGGCAGGAGAATCGCTTGAACCTGAGAGGCAGAGGTTGCAGTGAGCTGAGATCATGCCATTGCACTCCAGCCTGGGTTACAAGACAAGACTCTCTCTCAAAATAAAAGAATACCTGTCCTCTTTGGCTTCCCCTCTGGCTGTCCAGGGAGGAGGACAGTGAAGGGGACAAGACCTGCAAAGGGTTTTCCAGGCCTAGACTTCATACAGTGTTTCGGGCTTAGCCAAAGGGCTGGACACTAAGGAAGACTAAGGCATGTAGTCATACCATGGCTTCAAAACACCCAGGCAGCTGGGCGCAGTGGTTCACACCTGCAATCCCAGCACTTTGGAAGGTTGAGGCAAGAGGATTGCTTGAGCCCCAGAGTTCGAGACCAGCCTAGGCAACATGGCAAAACCCTGTCTCTACAAAAAATACAAAAATTAGCCGGGTATGGTGGCATGGACCTGTAGTACATGCCACCATAGCTACTTGGGAGGCTGAGGTGGGAAGATCTCTTGAGCCCAGGAGGTCAAGGTTGCAGTGAACCGTAATTATGGATTATGCCACACTCCAGCTTGGATGACAGAATGAGATCATATCTAAATTAAAAAACAAACAAACAAAAACGGGCTCTCAGGCTCAGCTGTAGCAGGGACTTCTTTGAATGGTGCTATCAACCACACTGATACAAATATGACTCACTCTGGCTGAGCAGTGGTTGAAAGCTTGGCCTGGCCATGGGAGGCAATGGATGCTGGTGGGCCCGTCTTGATGTACCTGTGAGCTAAGCCAGGGGCATGTATGGCCTTTCTTCTTAGATTACCGAGTATATGCAGCAGGCGGGATGGGCCTGGACCTACGTCCACACAGCCACCTCCAACACTATGACATGCTCAAGGACATGTGGGTGTCGCTAGCACCCATGCCCACCCCGAGATATGCTGCCACCTCCTTCCTCCGAGGCTCCAAGATCTACGTGCTGGGTAAGGATGGGTTACTGTTCTATACCTGCCCTCCTTCCTTCCCTTGGCTCAGTTCCCATGGGAAGCAGTGCCTGTGTGCTGAGCATCTCATTGGTACTGGGGATAATCACACTGCCCAGCCCACCGGGAGCTTCCTGTATGAATAACTGTCAAAAGGGGAAACCTTTTCGCTGTCCCTGTCCTCAGGGACAACCCTTCTGCCCAACCTCTATCCTGCTCTGGCCCCCAGGGGGACGACAGTCCAAGTACGCAGTCAACGCTTTCGAGGTCTTTGACATCGAGACTCGCTCCTGGACCAAGTTTCCCAACATTCCCTGTAAGCGGGCCTTCTCCAGCTTTGTGACCCTGGACAGCCACTTGTACAGCCTGGGAGGCCTGCGGCAAGGTCGCCTCTACCGGCAGCCCAAGTTCCTGCGGACGATGGACGTGTTTGACATGGAACAGGGTGAGCTGGTCACCTTCCCCAGGAAGCTCTGGCTGCCCACTGCCCTTCTGGCTGGCTCCCCATCCCTTACACCCATTCCAGCCATCTTCCAGGGCCGTTTACCCAGCTGAGCAAGCTTCTCGGAAGTCTCAGCACCCCTCTCCACTCAGGGCTACTCTTGGAATCAAATTCCTTCATTGCTATAGTTCCCCTTTTTGCTTGGTTGATTTTTTTCAAAGCCCCTTTTCTACCTATATTGTCTTTTCTTACAATATTCACACAGGACCAGGTCAGAGAGGGATTTTTCTTACTTTTTACTGATGGAGAAACAGAAGGATCCTGACTCCTACCCTCACTGCCTCTATTAGCCTCCTAAGCAAAAGTCAAGGTGATTCATTGTAGGGGATGATGATGCCTTACAGAGCAGCAAGCATGGGAGAGGGGGAAGCCGCAGAGAATTTCAAACAGCAGGAGGAACTGTGTACTCCCCAAGCATAAAGGATAAATAGAGTGAAGACACTGCCCAGGGTGAAAGCTATTTGGGCCACAATCTGTATTTGGTGGGAGTGGTCTGTATCTCATTCTCTCTATATAACCCACCATTATCCATGGCCTATAGGGGGATGGCTGAAGATGGAACGATCGTTCTTCCTCAAGAAGCGGCGGGCAGACTTTGTGGCTGGCTCTCTGAGTGGACGGGTCATAGTGGCTGGAGGACTTGGTAAGGATGGCACTTTCAGGCTGGAATTTATTGTGGTTCTGGTGCTCGGTGGATCCTTGGCACTTTGCATATGCAGGAAAGGGTACTGGCTCCTTGCAGACCACCTGCCTACCACTTTACTCCAAAAAATTCAAAGCACTCCCTTTCTTCCAGCCTGGATATTACCTATCCACTATGGGCCCCAGGTGTGGCCTTTCTGTCCTCCTACACGGAGGAAACTGTGACGCAGAGAGAATAAGGGACACCCATAGCCGTGCAGCACAGGCTTGCTGAGCACAGATCCCTAAATGGGCATGACTGGAGACAAAATGTGGAGGGGATTAGCCTTGGTCTTCCTCTGACCAATCTCTTCTCCTTGGATACCCAGCCCAATCATGGAACAGGAAAGCAATCTGATTAAATAAGTTCAACAGATGAATCTTGGATTTGATATATTAACTCTGCCAGAGATTACTGGTATTTTGAAGGAGGGACTCTAAAGTGAGAAGTCCCTCATCATCAAGGAAGAGAGGTCCAGGCAGCAGGGCTTCCAGGTACCCGAAGTCTACTTAGTGTGGACAAACTCCCACTTTACTCATGCATGAAGGAACTGTATGAGCTAGGCCATGTCGGTAGCTTTTTTAAGAAAGGGCAGCAGTGAGTCAGTAGTGTGCTAGAAAGCTCTGGTGAAAAGCAATGGGTAGGGAAAGAAAGCTTACTCTTAAAGAGACAGAAAGGAAGAAGGTAGGAGGGACAAAGTGGCTGCTTGACAAAAGCCACTGGCTTAGTAAAGGGAGTAATCCTGTAGCCAAGGAAGTTGACCTTGCTTGGCTTCTGCTTGTGGGTGCCCAAGGGAGGAAGATGGGGTGACTGTGGGGCGTGGATTGGCGGTTGGACTCCTTTGTAAGGTCTGATTCCCTTGACACTTTCAGGGAATCAACCCACTGTCTTGGAGACGGCGGAAGCATTCCACCCAGGGAAGAACAAATGGGAGATCCTCCCTGCCATGCCCACACCCCGCTGTGCCTGCTCCAGCATAGTCGTCAAGAACTGCCTCCTCGCCGTGGGAGGTGTCAACCAGGGTCTGAGTGACGCAGTGGAGGCCCTGTGTGTCTCTGACTCCTAGCTGTCTCTGGGTCCAGTACCTTTGTGCTGGACCATATCACTTCACTCTTGACATGAGGAATGATCTTGTCCAAGCAGTCAGGGCTGCTTCCCAGAATGTCAGCTCCTGTTAGCAGCCAGTGGAGTCTGGCCTTGGGGCTCTAAGTGACCTCTCTATAGCTCCAAATCCTACCAATCTCAGAAAACTGTAAGAGGCACAGATGACTCAACCAGCTGCAGAGCTGACTCTGAAGAGAGTCTCCACTTACTGCACAGGCACAGAAAGGCACAGGAATATTTCCTACCTCTCCCTCCTGTGAGTCCCACCTCCCCCCACCCCCATCTCCAGGAGGCAGGTAGAGCAGTTCTGACAGAGAGGATAAACTGCTGTTGCTGTCTTTCCCCAGCTCTAAACTAGTTTTAAGGTTGCTTAGGATGAAAAATGGAGAATGATTGGGGGTTCCAAACCCCTTTCTCCTCCCTTGGTTTATATCTCTTCACCATTTGGTGGTCAACTGTGGGCCTACCCTGGACCTCATCTACTCAGCGAGAATTGGACATGAAGCTAGAGGCAGCTGCCTTGGAAGGGAAGTCAGGCTCACTTGGACAGCCCAGGCCATGGCAGGAAGAATCCCTTCCTCTTGGGGTCCTTGCTGGGCATGTGATGGTGGAGAAGGAGCAGTCTCCCAGCCATGGGTCTGCTCCCCACATCTCTCCTAATTCCACTTCACCTTCTTCCACCCCCTCCCCACCAGAGGCCTAGCCCTTTTGTCACCGAAGGCCCCCAGAGGGTTTCTGTGTGAAACCTTCTCATTTACACTGTGGCATCAAAATCCACAAAAGATGGATTAATTGCACTCTGGTTAATAGCAGCAGCACAATGATTAAAATCTATATTCCTAACTTCTCTAGCACCCTGGTGTGGGGGTGGGGCAGAAGGGTGTCTTGAGGGGCAGGAAGGACCCCATAAAACAATCCCTCCGGCATTCTCAGGCTAAGGAGGGCCCCCAGTGACCACCTGTTCTTGGCTGTCCCCTCTGAAGAGCTCTGCCTTCTCACAGCCACCACCAGTTACCCCACTCCCAGGAAAATAGCACATATTCTTCTTCTCCTGCCTTGAGACTGCATGTTAATCTTCCATTCAGAACTCATCAGCAGCTCAGTCCTTCTTATGTCTAGTCTCAGTTCATTCAGCCAAAGCTCATTTTTGTCCTATCCAAAGTAGAAAGGGTTCTTTTAAAAAACTCGAAGAATGTGCCTCCTCTTAGCATCTGTTTCTGACTCTCAGTTATTTTTAAAATAAATGATGAATAAAATGCCTGCCCTGAAGGGTTCTGGAGGAGTCAGGTATCACTCATCAGGTGATAGTGTAATTCATTCCTCCAGGAGGCAGGAACAGAGGAGGATCACCTCTCTGGATCTGAGGGGTCTAGGGAGCCTCCTGGAGGGAGGGAGTGTGACACCTTCAGTTCAATCTTCAAGGACAAGTGGAACCTGGGTCTTTACAGGATACGGATTTTTTCCCGTCCCTTTCTCTTGGTACTTGGACTTTTTCCTTACTTCTGTCCAAGAAGGGCACTGCCACCTGCTGGCCCAGCATTTCCCTTCCCCTCCCCGGGCTGGGAGGCCTCCGGTAGCCGCTGCTGCCCCCTAGTGGGGAGACTGCAGAGAGGCCTCCCCTGCTGTTTCTGGATCCCTATGAGTTGAGCCCCTGAAGTAATTGATAGAAACAGGAGCTGGAGGAGCTGCAGATACTATAAGGGATGATGGAACTGTGCGTTAGGGGATGCTCTTCCAAAGGCATCCTGTCTCCTCAATCCCCTACCCAAGAAAGGTGTTTAGCAACAGGGGTGCCTCCACCCCTTCCAAGAGAAACCCAAGCCTTATGGGAGGGGGCATTTCCAGGCACACAAAGTGGTCCCATATGCATGGATACGGCTGAACTTTTTTTTGAGGCAGGATCTTGCTCTATTGTCCAGGCTGGAGTGCAGTGGCGCGACCAGGGTTCACTGCACCCTCCAGCTGGGCTCAAGCAATCCTCCCACCCCAGCCTCCCAAGTAACTGGCCCTAGACTCAAGTGATCCTCCTGCCTTGGCCTCCCAAAGTGCTAGATTACAACCCTCAGCCACCATTCCCAGACAGTGAACCATTTTTAAATGGTCAGACAGAACCTTGGGAGTACAGAGAGCTCTAAAAGGTTGAATTAGCCGCTGGAATCTGTGAGGGTAACTCAGGGCTGGAGCTGGTATCTGCTAAGGACTCACCCCTTGGAAGTCCATTCTGGAAAGACTTTAGGGGTGCCTCACTGAGGAATGAGGGAAATACTGAATGTCTGTTAAGCCATGTGATCCTGTACCTCATGGTGCTACAGGGGCAGCACAGGATCTGGGGTAAGATGGCCTGGCCCAGGCCTCGCTCCCCCACCCCCATAGGCTTTCCCGTTCCCTTTCCACCGTGGGAAGGCTCCTCACCTTTCCTGTCTTCATTTCCCAATATACACAACAGCAATCATAATGCTGTCTCACAGGTGGTGAGGCACTTCCTTCAATCCTCAGATCAACTCCATAAGGTAGGTAGTATCCTCCCATTTTACAGGTAAGAAAACTGGGACTCTAGGGTCACAAGCTCGTAAGTGACTGAACCAGGTCTGATTCCAAAACTTGTGACCACAGCACTGCATAGCCTCACATGAAATAGCACAGGAAAGGAAAGAAAATCAACTGTGCTATACTATGTAGGAAGTTGAAAATGTCTCAAAATCTAGAAGGATGGAGACTGTTTCTTAAGGAATGAGTGTGAGTATTAGCAAGGAATGGGTGAGAGGGGCTTCCTAATGTGAAATGGGCATAGATTATTCCTAAATGTATACCCCCAGGAAAGTTTCCTTCTAACTTTTTCATTCCATTATTTAACATTTAACACCTATTCTGTGCCTGGCATGGTGCTGGATTCCTGCCCTAGAGCAGTTACAGTCTTGGGAGGAAGACAGGGGACCATGGCTGCCGTTGCTGTTTGATCAGTGTCAGCCTTTGCTATTGCAACTCAGAGGCACCCCACTCACGGTGGTTGCAGATAGCTGAGATGAATTGAAGAGTTCAGTGCAGGTTTCCAGGAAATAAATCTCAAACTGCACTTTGAAAGAAGAGGGAGGCCAGATGCGGGGGCTCACGCATGTAATCCCAGCACTTTGGGAGGCCAAGGCGGGCGGATCACCTGAGGTCGGGAGTTTGAGACCAACCTGACCAACATGGAGAAACCCTATCTCTACTAAAAATACAAAATTAGCCAGGCCTGGTGGTGCATGCCTGTAATCCCAGCTACTTGGGAGGCTGAGGCAGGAGAATCACTTAAACCCGAGAAGTGGAGATTGCAGTGAGCTGAGATTGCGCCATTGCACTCCAGCCTGGGCAACAAGAAACTCCGTCTCAAAAAAAAAAAAAAAAAGAAAGAAAAAGAAAGAAAGAAAGAAAGAAAGAAAGAAAGAAAGAAAGAAAGAAAGAAAGAAAAGAAAGAAAAGAAAGAAAAAAGAAAGAAGAGGAAGACCAGCCAGGCAGAGGAGGATGAGCACTGGCTTTGCAGCAAGAAAGATGGCTTCAAATCATGATTGTCATGTACTAATTGATCTTGGGTACATTACATAACCTCTCTGAGTCCCAGTTTTCTTATTTGTAAAATGTGCAAAATAAGGCCTCACTTATGAGGCTAAGAGCTACCTGCTATATGTAAAGTGATGTATGTGTGTTCAGTGAGTAGCTGCATTATTATTTCACTGTTGTTGAAGGAGAGGTAGAGGTGTTCTCAAGCCCACTGAGGGAAAGGGTTTGGCTTATTTGGGGGAAAACATGTAGTGGAGAATGTAGAGGGGGGATGTGGGAAGATGGGGCTCAAAATGCAGTCAGGCAGACCAAGAAAGGCCTTACTACATGCCTTGTTAAGGAGTCTGGAGTTTATGCATGTGGGAAGTTAGAAGTAAATTAAGAGTTTTAAGTATAAGAGCAGTGTGATCAGAACTGTACCTCTCTAGCATGGGATATTCCAAGTTCTTTTCTAAGGAATAGAAAGTAAGTGAAATCACTAAGGCATCATCTAAGATCAGAAGGAACGGCTGGGCATGGTTGCTCACGCTTGTAATACTAGCACTTTGGGAGGCCAAGGCAGGTGGATCACCTGAGGTCAGGAGTTCGAGACCAGCCTGGCCAACCTCGTCTGGTGAAACCTTGTCTCTACTAAAAAATACAAAAAAAAATTAGCCAGGCATGGTAGCCGGCGTCTGTAGTCCCAGCTACTCAGGAGGCTGAGGCAGTAGAATCACTTGAACCTGGGAAGCAGAGGTTGCAGTGAGCTGAGATCGTGCCCCTGCACTCCAGCCTGGGTGACAAGAGTGAAACTCCATCTCAAAAAAAAAAAAAAATCAGAAGGAACCCCAGCTGCGGTTGGAGTCCTAGGACAATAGGCAGACCAAGCTTTTTAGGCCTTGTCTTGCGGAAGGCTTATCTACTGGGCAATCAGAGAGGGCCAGGAGGCTGCAGAACTGCAGGAGAGTGGACTAGTCCACGCCCTCCATCACTTCCCTTTCCCCAGGATTGTTTTCTAACAATCTCTTGCATTTGCACTGGACTTTATGACTTGCAAAGCTCCTGCATGGGAGGTAGGGTACAGTTAGCCTTTTCCAATCCCCATTTTACAGAAGAAGAAACTGAGAACTGGGAACCGTGTGACTAACCTAGGTGGCACAGCTAATAAGTGATAGGAATGAAAATCTAACCCAGCTCGGTGTACAGCGTCCCTCTCCCCGTACCTGCTGCTGTCTCTAAGCTCTATGGTAAGGGGAATAGCAAGGGAGGTCAGTGTATCCATCCATGCCGCCATGTGACCTACAGACCATGCCCAAAGCTTTGAGCCAAAGGCCTCCAGCTTGAGAAAGAACTCAAGTTGTAGTTTGAGTGAGATCAAACATGAGTGAGGGCAGGAGCTTCATGTCAGGATAAAACACCTGCAGAAGTACAACACAAGGCAGGATCCAGGCAAGCACTGACGAGGAGGGCACACAGAAGGACCCAGGCAAGCTGGGCAGATCAAAATGACAATATGTATTAGTTCCCTAGGGCTGCTCTAACAAAAACACCACAATTAGGTGACTTAAAACAGAAATGGATTGTGTCACAATTCTGGAGGCTAGAAGTCTCAAGCCAAGATGTCAGAAGAGCTGTGTTCTCTTGGAAGGCTCTCAGGGTGGGGGTGGGGAGGGCAGGATTCTTCTGTGCTTCCTCCTAGCTCCTGGTGTTTGCTGGTAATCTTTGGTGTTGCTTGGCTTATGGCAGCATAACTCCAATCTCTGCCTCCATCTTCACATGACCTTATAAGGACAACAGTCATTGGATTAAGGCCTGTCCTAACCCAGTATGACCTCATTTGAACTCGACTATGTCTGCAAAGACCCTGTTTCCAAATAAAGTCATATTCACAGGTACTAGGGGTTAAAACTTCAATATATCTTTTGGGGGGTGTCATTCAACTCAAAACTCAACGTAATGGATCGATGAGCAATACGGGAAAAGCAAGAGCCCCCTAGGGACTGAGCACCTCTGGGAAGGCTGCCTACAGGAGCCCACTGTTGTAAGTGAGCCTGCAGGGAAGGGAGAGCTGAGGTGCCAAGCACACTGAGCAAAGGGGCCTTTTGGGGAGTGGTGTGAAAAGACTTCAGAAGGCACGTTGGAGTCTGTGCAAACCTTGAGTTGGGGAGTTAATGCGTCAAGAGGAAGGGTTTGGGGCAGGTCAGCCTAAGTGTGATGGAGCTGTTCTGGCTGTTCCTCTCAGACCTCACCGCTCTCTACCCTCAGGGCAAGTGGTGACAGAGGAGGGAGAGACAATCCCTGGGGGAAGGGGAAGGGCCAGTTTGCTGCAAAATGTCTTTAGAGTTTGGTGTTCCCCGGGGTATGATCCTTTTTATTTTAATGGTTTAATTGTGGGCTGTTTCCCAAATATTTCCAGTTCATTTTGAGCTCCCCAGGCAGGTACTTGGCTCAAAGAAGGGGGAGAAGCCCTGTTCCTGACTCCACAAAGCAGAGCACCAAGAACCCACCATCGCAGCACAGAGGGCAAAGTGTACTTCTTTCCAAGAGTGAGCTCTTTGCGGATCCTGTGCAGCTGCTATTTCATACCAGATGAGCTTCCTGCAACTCCAGCCAGCACACTCTGCACCTGCCTGCCCCAACACACACACACACACACACACACACACACACACACACACACATTCTCCACACTCTCCCCCTTCTTTCTTACTCTCATGCCTGCACATTCACTCATGTCACACACATGCTCTCAC